AATTGCACTACTTTAGAAATTATCGCAGCTCTGACCAAGTCAGAACCGCACCTATATGAGCGCTGTAATTGCGGACAATAGGGTGAAACTTTGCATGCAATTTGCAAGTCGCACGACATGTAAATCGCATGCCAAGTCGCACCCAGTGCGACCGAGTTCTTAGAGCAGGGGTCTCCAAACTTTCTAACCAAAGGGCCAGTTTACTGTCCTTCAGACTTTATCTGGTCAGGCTGTGGCAGTTGGGAGTAGAAAATGTCCCGGCATCAGTGGGAGCTAACAATGCCCCATCTTTGGTGTCAATGAGAGGAATTGTGCCACGTCGTTGTTGTAGTTGGGAAGAATCATGCCCTATCATTGGTGTAATTGGGAAGAATCATGCCCCATCATTGGAGTCATTGGGAGGAATTGTGCCCCATCATTGGTGTTATTGGGCCCCATTGTTGGGGTAATTGGGAGGAATTGTGCCCCATCATTAGTGTTATTGGGCCCCATTGTTGGGGTAATTGGGAGGAATTGTGCCCTATGGTTGGTGTCATTGGGAGGAATTGTACCCCTTTGTTAGTGTCAGTGAATGAAATATTGCCATATATTTAAATAAATATAAGGGCCAGATTAAAGCAAGCAACGGGCCACATTCAGGGCCCCAGGCTGGAGTTTGGAGAACACTGTATTAGAGGGTTGCTACATTTGTTCACCCTCTCTTGCTCGTTACCAAGATGGTCTATGGATGTGTAGTGTACATAGAGCGGTGCACATGACCACAACTAACATGCACTGCTTGTTTTAAACAAACAAAAGTGAGGGGGAAAGGAGAGGTGGCAGCAAAAAACAGTAAGAAGCAATTTAATGAAAAATAGATTACAGGGCCACCAAGTAGTGGATGTGTATGGATTATACCCCTACGGGGTGCAGCGTGGAAGTTTTAGTTTGCCTGTTGTTTAGTAGGCTGCTGTCAGAGTGTGATAGCTGAGAGAGCAGTAGGCATGTTGGGGGGGGGGGGGGGGGGGATGAGTGCCTACCGCTGTCAGAGCGGATCCAGTGAGGCAGAGGAGGGTGGAGCAGTGGGTGGATCTCCATGGGTGAAGGGAGGGAGTGGGGCCCTGCTGTCAGACAGGATGCAGGTGTGCGCCCGGTTGTGCGGGAGGAGTCAGGCCAGGGGGTGCTGCCAGGGGGGAGGTTGGGGTTTAGCTGCCACTTTCACCAGAGATCCAGGTGGAGATCTTCTCATGCTTGCTCCAGGAACAGCTAGCCCTCTTGGCACTGGTGTGCTGCAGATTCTTCCACTAACATCATATGGAGGAGGAGCCGCAGGAATGGAAGGAGCCGCAGGACTGGGAGGAGTAGCAGGACTGGGAGGAGTAGCAGGACTGGTGAGATCAGAGGAATTGGTAAACCCAAGGTGTGTGTGATGGGGAGGGAGGTATCTGTGGTGTGTGTTAGGGGAGAGGTATGTTGGGAAGGGTGTGATCAGGCTGGCAGTATCTGGCATGGAGGTGTGATCAGGCTGGGGGCACCTGGGGGGTGTGATCAGAGTGGGGGGAGGGCGCTATGTGATCAGGGTGGGGGGGTATCTGGGGGTTTGTGATCAGGGTGGGGGGTATGTGGGGAGGTGTGATCAAAGTGGTGAGTATCATGGATGTGTGATCAGGATGGGGGGGTAATCAGGGTGGGGGTATCAGGAGTTGTGATCAGAGTGGGGGGGTATTTGGGTTTGTAGTCAGAGTAGGGGGATTCTGGGGGTGTAATCAAGGTAGGGGTATCTGAGGAGGTGTGATCAGGGTGGGGGGGGTATTTGGGGGTGTAATCAGGGTGGGGGTATGATCAGGATGGGGGGGTATCTTGGGGGGTAAACAAGTTGGGATGATCAGGGTGGGGGAGGTATCTGGGGGGTGTAATAAGGGTGGGGTGATCTGGGAGTTTGTTTATGAGGGGAACCCAGCCATTGGAAGTTTTAGTTTGCCTAACCTGCCAGCTGTCTATGGCCAGTGAGGCGAAGTGAGGAATGCATAACCCCGCCCCCTCATTACACACTGCCATTTAGTGAACGTTCAGCACAGCTCAATTTTTAACGGTGTGTGATATCCCTTCACACTGCGCCCCATCACATTACAGGTGGTACCAACGTGGCTGTAGACAGTGAGGGGATGTGGTGGAAGGGAGGAGGGTGGCAGGAGGATGATGGCGGGGAGGGGGCAATATGCATCTTCACCTTTGTAGACAATAATCGTTGCATCGGCCCTGCTCCCACACCCCTACAGGGGTTTCCAAACTTTCTGTGCTTTGGGAGTTTGAGAGTGCCAACTTGCCCGCCCTTTTCGACCCCCTATTTTGATAATCTGCACTACTGTATAGCTATCTATGAATGGAGGACATGTGGATGAATGAAAGGTGAGCTGTCTGCATTCAGGGAGGCACATATGACCCTGTGTTTTGCTACATATGAGGACAGCCCACCGTCCCACCATTGATAGCATAAGATATGACCATATTGTATGCTATCTAGCCATTTGTGTCTGCATGCATAAATGTTATATTGTTATTATTATTATTCAGGATTTATATGGCGCCAACAGTTTGCTCAGCACTTTACAATATATAGAGAGACAATACAGCAACAATACAGTTCAATACAAGAGGGATAGGAGGTCCCTGCTCCTTGGAGCTTACAATCTAGGAGATAACATCCCGTATATGCCTCAAATGGAAGGCTTTCTTTATGAAAAAAAAACAAAACCCTAAATTAAATAAAAAAAAAAAACAACTAAATATTTTGTGCTGTGACCCCGATTTCCTTAACCTTCAAAAATGAAAGTCAGAACCAACCAACCCCCACCACAGATCCTGAAGTGATATAGATCTTTCTGGTAATGAGGTTTACTTGACACAACCACAGAGCGAGGACTGCAGTGAAACATGACCATCGATTCTGTCTTTTCCTCAGCAGGTTGCCACAGCCATTGTGCAGAAATGTATGTTTCTCAGGTTTCGTTTTCATTTCTCGGCCAGTCATCTTTACTTACTAAACCTCAAATATTGGGGTTACTGCCAAATTGAATTGTGTTGCTGGTTTGCTTTTTCTATGGGTTGATGTGTGAGAGACGTTAGGCAGTTGCAGCATCCTTCCAGGACACAGACCATGAACAAAGTCTGTTGGTGACTAGGTGCTGCTTGTGAAGTCATTCCAAAACTCCATATAAAGTCAGTATAAAAGCTCATTATTTTGCTTTGATGCACTCCATGTGTTACCAAAAAAAGATAAATAAACTGGCTTGGGGGCGCAACAAAGAATATTTCTGCAGGTAATATACACTGGTCTAGAACTTGACCTGTCCATCAAATCACCTAGCAGAGATTGAAGAATGAGACCACACTCCACTGGTAAGTATAGTGTTTAGAGCTGGTTGTAGAAACCATCCCTACCCGTAGGCCACTCCCCTCTGACATGTTTCAACCCTCCTAGTTGTGCAGGTTACATACAGTGCCTTGAAAAAGTATTCATACCCCTTGAAAATTTCCACATGTTATCATGTTACAACCAAAAGCATAAATGTTTTTATTGGGATTTTATGTGATAGACCAACACAAAGTAGCACATAATTGTGAAGTGGAAGGAAAATGATAAATGGTTTTCAAATTTTTTTACAAATAAATATGTGAAAAGTGTGCATTTGTATTCAGCCCCCGGAGTCAATACTTTGTAGAACCATCTTTCACTGCAATTACAGCTGCAAGTCTTTTAGGGGATGTCTCTACCAGCCTTGCACATCTAGAGTGTGATATTTTTGCCCGTTCTTTTCAAAATACCTCAAGCTCTGTCAGACTGGATGGAGAGCGTCTGTGAACAACAATTTTCAAGTCTTGCCACAGATTCTCAATCAGATTTAGGTCTGGACTTTGACTGTGCCATTCTAACACATGAATATGCTTTACTCTAAACCATTCCATTGTAGCTCTGGCTGTATGTTTAGGGTCGCTGTCCTGCTGGAAGGTGAACCTCCACCCCAGTCTCAAATCTTTTGCAGACTCTAATAGGTTCTCTTCTAAGATTGCTCTGTACTTGGCTCCATCCATCTTCCCATCAACTCTGACCAGCTTCCCTGTCCTTGCTGAAGAAAAACATCCCCACAACATGATGCTGCCACCACCATGTTTCACAGTGGTGATGGTGTGTTCAGGGTGATGTGCAGTATTAGTTTTCCGCCACACATAGCATTTTGCTCTTAGGCCAGAAAGTTCAATTTTGATCTCATCTGACCAGAGCACCTTCTGCCACATGTTTGCTGTGTCCCCCACATGGATTTTTGCAAACTACAAAGTGGACTTCTTGTGGCTTTCTTTCAACAATGGCTTTCTTCTTGCCACTCTTCCATAAATGCCAGATTTGTGGAGTGCACTACTAATAGTTGTCCTGTGGACAGATTCTGCAACCTAAGCTGTGGATCTCTGCAGCTCCTCCAGTTACCATGGGCCAGTTGGCTGCTTCTCTGATTATTGCGTTCCTTGCCTGGCCTGTCAGTTTAAGTGGATGGCCATATCTGGTAGGTTTGTAGTTGTGCCATACTCTTTCCATTTTCGGATGATGGATTGAACAATGCTGCATGAGATGTTCAAAGCTTGGAATATTTTTTTTATAACCTAACCCTACTTTAAACTTCTCACCAACTTTATCCCTGACCTGTATAGTGTGTTCCTTGGCGTTCATGATGCTGTTTGTTTACTAATGTTCTCTAACAAACCTCTGAGGGCTTCACAGAACAGCTGTATTTATACAGAGATTATATTACATAAAGGTAGACTCTGTTTACTAATAGGGTGACTTCTGAAGGCAATTGGTTCCACTAGATTTTAGTTAGTGGTATCAAAGTAAAGGGGGCTGAATACAAATGCACACCAAACTTTTCAAATATTTATTTGCAAAATATGTTGTGCTCGTGCACACTGCTTTGTATAGCTGTGCACAGCACTACTATGCAAAGCAGTGTGCTTACAGAGAAGCACACAGACACAGCCCCATAGTAAAACACACCCAGCACACAGTTAACCCTTTGATCGCCCCAGATGTTAACCCCTTCCTGCCCAGTGCCATTAGTACAGTGTCAGTGCTTTTTATTACCACTGATCACTGTATTGGTGTCACTGGGGATGTCAGTGACACCAAGTCAATTCCCCCCAGTGTCAGAATGCCTGCCGCAGTCCCGCTATAAGTCGCTGATCACTGTCATTACTAGTAAAAATTGAAGAAAAAAAAATTCTAGTATATATACCGCCATTTGTAAACGCTATAACTTTCACGTAAACCAATTAATTTACATGTATTGGGATTTTTTTTAGCAAAGACATGTAGCAGAATACATTTTGGCCTAAATGTATGACGAAATTTGATCTTTTAAATTTTTTTACTTTACATGTTTAATAGCAAAAAATCTAAAAAAAATTTTTTTCCTCAAAATTGTCGATTTTTTTTTTATAGCGCAGAAACTAAAAACCGCACTGGTGATCAAATACCACCAAAAGAAAGCTCAATTTGTGGGAAGAAAATAACGTAATTTCATTTGGGTGCAGTGTTGCATGACCGCGCAATTGTCAGTTAAGTAACGCAGGGTCATAACGCAAAAAATGGCCTGGTCAGGAAGGGGGGTAAATCCTCAGGAGAGCAAGTGGTTAAAGTGTACAGGCTTGATGACCACAGCTAGCCGCTCACGGGTGTCAAAAACAGTAGCAGAAATCAGCAGATATCTGCTGCTGTCTTTTGAATTGGAGCAAATCGCTGGTGTGAACATAGCCTTAAAGCAGTATTAAACCTAAAAGCAAACATTTATTATATTGCTGAAGAAGCTCTCCAGCAGAATGTATCATGTTACAGAGTTGAGACACACCATTTAACACTAGCAGAGGTGCGTAAAACGGTCATCTGTTTGCTGTAACTGCTTATAAAGTATTCAACGGAGTTTGGCTTTAATTTGTTGGTGTATCTAAATCTGCTAGTACATCTAACACTTCCCTACCCCCAGAATGACAATTCTGCTGTCCAAAGGTAAACCTGTGCTCCTTCATCCAGAGTGGGGACACTCTAATACAGGAGGTGTGTTACTAGCCAGATCACCAGGTGAAAGCAGAGCAAAAAAAAAGAAAACTGATGCAACCACCAGCTAATGACTGGTAAGCTGCAATAAATAATATGTTTGGTTTGGGGTTTAATACCACTTTAAAGTGTAAGTTCACCTTTTCAGAAGAAAATGAAATGGTGAATTAACACTATACATCCTTCTCACATTCCCATTTCCCACTGTACTTACCTGTGAGGGTGATGAGCTGTCAGTGCCCATGCAGCCAGTGTAGCAGTCCAAGGATTTGAAATCTCTGCCCTTCTCCCCTGCTTAAAGTGGTTATAAAGGTTTTTTACCTTCATGCATTCTATGATCCAGCGATGTGCACTAGAGTCTCAGCTAGCCCAGGACTCCCTCTTCTCATTGGCTGAGACAGAAGCGGGAGCCATTCGCTCTTACTGCTGTCAGTCACAGCCAGTGAGCCAGTGAAAAGAGAGAGGAGGCAGGTCTGAGCTGCAGCTCTGTGTGTGAATGGACACACGGAGCAGTGGGTGCCCCACAGCAAGCTGCTTGCTGTGGGGGGACCTGACAGGAGGGAGGGGCCAGAAGTGCCAGTGGGGTATCCGAGAAGGGAAGGATCCGGGCTGCCCTGTGCAAAACCACTGCACACAGCAGGTAAGTATAGACATGTCTGTTAATATTTCTAAAAAAAACAAAAAAACAAGCCTTTAGAATCACTTTAATGCATGGCTTCTGGGACAGATCAGAGCAATTCTGATTGGACAGAGTTGGCACAGGATTTATTACTTTGGTCCATCCTGGAAGTCCTTCAGAATGATGGGAGAGAAGAGAGGGGATTCTGCATCCCTGAACTACTATACTTTTAATTATATACTGTAGCTATTTTTGGCTGCTTACATAAAAAGAGATGTTATATTTACCTGCTCTGTGTACTGGTATTGCACATAGTGGCCCACTGTCTGCGCCTTATGCGTGTGTTCCCATAGAAAGCTTCTTTTTATGAGGGCACACATGCAGGCTTACTTCCATAGACACACACAGCACAGCTCTACCCTCTGCTCCCTTCTCACTGGATTTCATTGGCTCCTGCTGTTGTCAATCTCTCCTTTGACACCAAGAACAGAGACTGGTGCTGCTGAAGATGGGCACAGCGCTGGATCAATACAGGTCTCAGGTAAGTATTTGGAGGGGGTGAGCAAACAACTAGTGAAAGCTTTTTTTAACCTTAATGTAGGTAATGCAATAAAGTTAAAAAAAAAAATTGTGTCTTTAGAACCACTTTTAGAGAGCAAACTGAGCAAACCTTGCACACCATTTACTTTGATACACCGAAATGTATGTAACTCAACGTTCAATTGGGCTTTAAATAAACAGACTTGTAGATGAATCAAGGAGGCTTCAGAGAAGTAGAACTTCCAGAGCGGGACGAATGAATGCTGACCCATGTATCTGGTTCTTTTATTTCACAATGACTTTTTCTCTTATGCTTTTTAGTTATTGTGACTGATCTAATGCTTCTTTGGATCTTTCTCATCTTCTTTTTTCCACAAATTGATTTTGACTTGCAAATAAATTGCTGAGCAGGGGATTTTAGACATCATAAAATTAGGCCAGTATCGAATAAAAGAAAATCAAAGACATCTGATTCAATATTTAGTATACTAATCTGTGCGGACATCTGTGCTGCAAAGTCAAAATCTAGATGAAAAAACACCACTGTCTCCAGGTATACATTTATTAATACATCCTTAAATATATGTTTTTTAAATATAGCCATGTACCTGAATTTTGTTCTACTAGCACTGCAGAACTGGGAGAGAGAGGAGAACTACTATTAGCCAATCATGCTGTATTGCAGTACATGGTGACGTCATTACTACTGGTAGCTTGCAGAAAGTAGGAGAGATGACCTAATCAGTGTTGTAGTTACCAGGCTAAGGGAGTCCATACATTCATATTTTTTTTTTTTAGCTCACCCACCGGGTTGAATGAAAAAAATGACCTGATTCCCCCAGCCACACATTCAAAGTGGATGGGGAAATCGCTCCTGTGTGCTATTGTGTTCTGATGCTTGGGAGTCTTTTTTTGCTTTCAGAATACAATGAAGATTAATTGACAACTAGCGTGCCCATACATGGATCGCAATTCTGATAGTCCCTGGTGAACCTGCCAAATTTCGATCCATATACAGTTAGGTTCGTATATTTTTGGACAAAACTTCAAAAATAAAAAAAATCGATCAGAGAGATAGCAGCAACATTAGGAGTGGCCAAAGCAACAGTTTGGTACATTCTGAGGAAAGAACGCACTGGTAAGCTCAGCAACATAAAAAGGCATGGATGTCCACAGAAGACAACAGTGGTGGATAATCGCAGGATCCTCTCTATGGTAAACAAAAACCCATTCACAACATCCAGACAAGTGAAGGACACTCTCCAGTAGGTGGGTGTATCATTGTCAAAGTCTACAATCAAGAGAAGATTTCACGAGAGCAAATACAGAGGGTTCACCACAAGGTGCAAACCATTCATAAGCCTGAAGATCGGAAAAAAAAAAAAAAACAGATTAGACATCTAAAAAGCCAGACCAGTTCTGGAAAAGCATTCTTTGGATGGATAAAACTAAGATTAATCTGTAGCAGAATGACAGAAAGAAAAAAATGTGGAGAAGGCTTGGAACAGCTCATGATCCAAAGCACACTTTATCTGTAAAACATGATGGAGGCAGTGTGGTCACATGGGCATACATGACTTCCAGCGGCACTGCGTTATTGGTGTTTATTGATGATTTGACAGAAGACAGAAGTAGCCGGATGAATTCTGCAGGGTTTAGAGATATATTGTCAGCCCAGATTCAGGCAAATGCAGCAAAGTTGATTGGACGGTGCTTCACAGTACAGGTGGATGATCCAAAACACACTGAAAAAGGAACCCAGAAGCTTTTGAAGGAAAAGAAGTGGAATATTCTGCAATGGCCGAGTCAGTCACCTGATCTCAACCCAATTGAGCATGCATTTCACTTGCTGAAGGCAGAAACAATTGAGTACTGACGTGATACTTTTTTTTATATTATTTGTTTTTATTTGCACTAACATACAATTTTGAGGACAAGCTTTCGGGGTATGTCCCCTTCTTCAAGGTCCAAGCAGTATTACAACTTTTTAGCAGAATGTTAGAAGAGATGTGGGGGATGTTTCTGTCGCAAGTGCACTAATGTGGGGGATGTTTCTGTCGCAAGTGCACTAATACGGCTACAATCACCTCAAACAAAATGGAAGATACTTGCTGAAGGCAAAACTAAAGGCAGAAAGACCCACAAACAAAGAACAATTGATGACAGCTGCAGTTAGAGCCTGGCAAAGCATCATAAAGGGGGAAACCCAGTCTGTGGTCCATGGGTTCCAGACTTCAGGCAGTCATTGCCAGTAAAGGATTCTCAACAAAATATTACAAATTAACATTTTATTTATGATTATATTCATTTGTCCAATTACATTTAAGCCCCTGAAAATGGATGGACTGTGTATAAAAATGGTTGCAGTTCCTAAAATTTGTACTTGATATTTATGTTCAACCCCTTGAATTAAAGCTGAAAGTATGCACTTCAAATTCATTTGTTTTGTTTTGTTTTGATTTATTCTGGTGGCATACAGAGCCAAAAGTATGAAAATTGTGCCTGCGTCCAAATATATATGGAACTAACTGTATGGCTGACTTAAGAGATAGATCCCTAGTTGATTTTAGCAGTTAACTCATTTGTATGACTTATGCACTAAAACTTTGCAAAACGCAGTCATAACTAGTCAAATTGGATGTAGTTGGTCTAATTTTTTCAGTCATCAGGACAACTCTTATAAACTGTTAGGCCTCTTTAACATGGGTGTCTGTTTTTCATCTGTCCGTTTACGGATGAAAAATGGACACCCATGTATTTCTGTGGACTAGGGATGTAAACGAATGATCATCCGCTTACATCAGTTAATGTCCATATCCGTTAACATCCGTTTTTTTTTAACGGATGTAAACGGACAAAAAACAGATTAAAAACAGATGAAAACCAGATGAAAAAACTGATGTAAACTGATGAAAAACGGATGTAAACTGATTCGTTTTTTCTTTGAAAAAATGTGATTGAACTGATGAAA